AGCTATCAAGCAAGCTTGGAATTTAGGCGATCCTAGATCATGCAGGTGAGCTTCAAGCTGTCAGGCAAGCTTGACTTATGCAAGCGAGCTTCTAGCTGTTAGGCGAGCTTGGTAGGCGAGGCTGTGCAGGCGAGCCAGCCTCATTCAGGTGAGATTAAATCTTAAGCCTTCAGGTGAGCTTGCTCTTCATACGAGCTAAACTCCTTTGCAGGCGAGTTTGCTCTTCAGGCAAGCTGCAGAACGTGCTACAAAGAATAGGTTATAAGTTTCAAACCATAAGTCAAATTAGACGAATTACATATGAAAATCGATTATCTCGACAAGACGGCGCCGACCAAACCAACCAAAGTTTGGTTGTTACTATTCGTTTTGCTAAATTCCCTTTAGTTTGAGAGATATCAGTGTTTTTGTCTGTTTTGTGAAGTCAAGCATTCAGGCGAACTTGACTTTCAGGTGAGTCTAACTTCGCTCAGGTGGGCCTGACTTCGCTCAGATCGACGATTGAGCTCTTTTACTTGTTCCAAGTTGCTGTGTAGGGATAAAGACAATTTTTATTGCCTACAATAGCGCGGTGACGGCCCTTGGCTGATGTGATCCATCGATAGTATGCTTTCCTTTGACCAGTTGACGACAAAGAGTCATTGAGATGAAAGACAATTTGAGATTTTTTTTTTGGGAGAGTTGAAGATTTTGATGATGTTTAGAGTTTTGGAGGCAAAGTGAAGAAGAATAAGTTGAATGCTCTATTTATAGACTTTTAGCAGCCCACAAAATTCGCCCCAAACTTTGCCCTATGATTCTGCCGTGAATTTTGCCCAAGAGCGATACTCACCTCAAATCAAGGCATAAAAATCAAGAATTTAAAATTCAAAATCATCAGAATGAGCATTGCCAACTGACCTAGCGAGCTTTGCCCAAATGTTGAATGAATTGTACCAACTAACTCAGCGAGCTTCACCCAAGACCCAAAGTTGAGGGAACTTTGCTCAATTTATGGAAAATTTTACTTGGCGAATCACATACAAAGCCTAAGATTCGCTCTAGATGTAAGAGACAAACCATACAAAGATCAAACACACGAGGAATAGTTTCACCAAAAACTTTATTATTCCATTGATCACAAATCCTTCTTCTTATAGTTACAAGACAAGTAAATTCATGTTCCATAGATATCAAGACGGTTGAGGAACAGAAGGGAAATATGAAAACAAGAAAAGGTGTCTAATCTGAGGGAGACAGAGAGACCTAATCACTCTCTAAGTCCTCACTTGCAAAACCTAGTCACTCTTTGAGTCCTCACTTGTGTAGCTCTAAGGATCTTTCTTCAAGTGCCATCAAAGCCTCTGAATGGTCCTACGCAAGGTCTGACACTTGGAGCTTTATGCATCACTATAGTGAGTCACTTCGCGCCAATCCATTGGTTTATTCTAGAGGACTTGCTCGAGATAACCCCTCTCAGCCAATAGCAAGTATACCAATTGGCGGATAATTTGGGTCTCCTTCACAGAACCACTATCAACTTGAGCCAACTCTTGCCTAAGTCGCTTAATTTCGGCTTCTCTATCAAAGAGGAACTCCGATCAGGTAGGATTAGACTGAGACATAGGAAGAAGAATATGAAGGAGATGGGTAATGAAAGAGCTTTTTATAAGCATTTCAACTAACTTATCCCAAAAATCATTCCTTTTGAGAAGTGATTGGACCACTCAAAGGCTAAAAAATAGCCTAAGAGTAGGTCGTTTGGTGAATCTCTCCTAAAAATTAAACCACCAAGAGTGATCTTAAACGCATATCAAGGAACAAATCTAGGAGCAACAACCTCAGTGGTCCTCACCTATCAGTGAACTTTGCTCAAATACTCATAATTGAGCGAACTCGCTAAAATTCATGGCCAATCGAACGTCACTTAACACAAGTTATTCCCTGAGCCTCTTGCCAATGAAAGGGCAAATGAATTTTGGGTATTCAACCAAGATGAATCCATGATGAAAGAAGTCACGTTCAACAGTACACCTCTGGCAATTAAGTTGTCAAACAAAAATAAATATAGCCTAAATAAGACAACCAAAGTTACGTTCAATGGTACACCTCTAGGTATTATCTAAAGTATTTTGATCCCCACTACAAATCAAATACAAGATGTTAAAAACTTTAGGGGAGGGTATCTTGTAGACGTTCAAAATATACAAGCTATTTTCTAGATCAATACTCAGTATAGATATCATGAATCTAATACTTGAGCCCAACATGGGTTCAATAAGTGAACGCCTCTGGGCTAAATAATTCAAACGGGCCCAATATGGAAAACAGTGAAGCTCGCCCAAAATTATAATGAAGTTCGCTCTCAAGACCAAGTCAAAGTAAAGCTTCAAGCAAAGTTCGCCAAGAACGAGCTCCGCCCAAATAGTTCACCTGGACCACATCACCAACATTCTAGCAAAGTTTGCTAGAATAAACTTCCCCCATGATCGTTATCGGTAAACTTCACGCAGAGCTATTTTAACAGCTATTTTGGTAGAAACGGTTTACCTTCATCATCTTCTAAGTTAATAGTCACTAATTCATTATTAATGATTACTCTCTCTCTCTCTCTCTCTCTCTCTCTCTCTCTCTCTCTCTCCTCTCTCTCTCTCTCTCTCTCTCTCTCTCTCTCTCTCTCTCTCTCTCTCTCTCTGCCTATAAGAGGAGGAGAGGTTACTAATTTTTAGCACCACCTATCGTCTTTCACCTTGATCATCTTAAATCCAAAGCTTGATCATCTTCAGAAAGATCGGATTTTGGCTAAAGTTTTGGCAAATCTCTAATAATCAGCCAGAAGACTCATCATGTTGGTCAGATCATCAACACAGCACAATAATGACACTCCATTTGCACATGAAAAAGTGTCCAGCATATAAAAAAAATTCTTGTTTCATTGTAAGCTTTAAGTTATAATTTTTTACTTTTGTTATCAATTTCAAAGGCCCGTAATACCTGGGGGCCAACGTTGATCCAGGGGCACATATTAGTTTATGCAATCTATAAATAGTGGTAGAGAGTAAGGGTGAGAAATATATAAAATTTTGTAAATCCTCTTTTAGGGATAGAAGAGCTACTCTTTTGAGAATGTCTTCTAAATATTGTAAAACTTTAGTTTTGCAATAAAAATAAAAATTATTTTTCCTCTTCAAAATTTTCTTGTATTTCTCTTGTGTTGATAAAAACTTGAAGCTTTTTCTTTGGTCTACATAAGAGGCCAATCCCTTTCAATATGAGTTTTTTAGTTTTAAAATTTTCTTATTTAATTAGAATTGTCTTCAAATTACGAAAATTTATAGACATTAGTCCCTCTGTTATGTTTACTGTTCAATATTCTTAATCATGATTAGGATTAGATTAACCATGGGTGTTTAGCTACCAAAATACCCTCACCTAATTAATTCGCCCACCAAACCATCTCTCTCTCTCTCTCTCTCTCTCTCTCTCTCTCTCTCTCTCTCTCTCTCTCTCTCTCTCTCTCTCTCTCTCTCTCCCTCCCTCTTTCTCTAGGAGTTCCAATAGGCTTTTATAGCCTCCAAAAATAAAAAGATCCATTGAAGATGATGAGTTCACTATTTTATTGAGTCATTGAAGAAAATGGGTTCAAGTTGGCTCTTTTATTTGGTTTCTTAATCCTAATGGATAAGGGTGTTTGGGTATTAGGAGGAAAGATATAGTTATTAATTTTCTTGAAAAAGTTAAACAGAACAGAATATTTACTATTATTTATAATCGCTATTATTTATAATCGCAACCCGAGTTTAATGTCAACATGTTTTTGCACTTTGAGGGACTAATATCAAAATATGAAGATGTGAGAGACTAATAAGAAAATACCAATGATTTAAGGGACTGATATTGAAAAACTCCTTCATGTGTGTGTGTGAGTGTGCCACTTAATTAAAGTTAATTTACTGAGGTGATAAATACAATAAAAACTAAAAAATCGGTCAACTGATCATCATCCCTAATTCACATGGTTTTGGTAGATAGCTTTACTCATTTCACTCTTAAAGTTATGTATCATTATATGTAAATACTCAAAAACTCATCATAATACTTTCTCCTGAATTTAATTTTTCTAGTTTTGATTAGCTTTTTCTTTTTTTTTTGTTCACAAAATAAATTCAAGGTATAAAACAATCATGTCCACAATGCAGTTATAGTGAAGATATAAACTCAAAAGAAATAATTAAAATATTTGACCGCATGCAATGCGCATGCATCCCACCTAGTAAAAAATTAATATGAGAGTTTTAGTTTTTTTTTATGAAATAGTTCTAGCCTAAAACTTGAGATAATTTGAGAGACTAGAACTCTTAATTTGTTCTCGTTTGCTCATTATATACATGAGTTTGTGCATTTAAAGGTCTTAAAAATGAAAAGGTATCTGGTCCTCTTTGTCTCGTTGCAATTATATTCATTCTTAACTAGCTAGCTATCACTAGTAGAAAAATGGGCATCCTTGACGGGCTTTCCCGTCAGGGATGCCAAATTTCCCGTCAGGGATACGTATCCTTGACGGCTTCCCGTCAAGGATACGCCGTCAGAAAAAGTCCCGTCAGGGAAGAAACATCCCTGACGGGCTGCCGTCAGTAATAATTATTACTGACGGCATCCCCCCCGCCGAGGGATGTGGAAATGTCGCTGACGGCATGCCCGTCAGGGATGTTTTGCACATCCCTGACGGGCATGCCGTCAGCGATAAACATCCCTGACGGGATGCCCGTCAGGGATGTTATACAACCACCAAAAAAAATATAATGCTTATTGAGGCTTTCATACAGTGATAGATAATGACAGTTATTGCTTAATATAGGGTCTTCTAAATGATTAAGAGCGAGAAATCTCTCCCTATGCAGTAGGTCTGGACATTAGGTAATGGACACGATGTCCTTTTAAAATGAGAAGGTGCCAATTTGCCATAGTAACCTATCCAACAACATCATCATTTGAACAAGAGCAATATTACTAATAATATGGACAGAAATTTGAAAAGAAGCTTTAGGCAGTGGCTTATACACGTAACAAGACTGGTCATACGTAACAAGAGAAATTTTAGTTATATATTCATGTGCCAATGAGTGTTCGATCTAGTAGTTGCTCAAGCTCGACATGTAATAAAGGGAACAGACAGCAAGTTCCTGGCAATCTCTAGGAAGCCTCATAAAAGATCCATGTTGCATTAGTCCTGCCAGATAAAGAAGACAATTTTTTTCATTCTTAATCCTTCAGTCCAGTTCTAGTTTACCAATAATTATTCATATCCTTTAACTTCTAATAAACCAAGAAAAAACAACTTTTTTGTACATAAATTTACATATACATTAGTAAATTCATAAAAAGTGAAATCTTTCATTTTCTCTAATAAACCAAGAGAGGTGTTTACATCAAGAAGTTACCCGGCTTCTGCTTCTGCGAGATCACCGTCAGCACCTGTACGATC